TACTCTTAGCCTAGAGCGGGTGTGTCCTGGGCACTCTTAGCCTAGAGCGGGTGTGTCCTGGGTACTCTTAGCCTAGAGCGGGTGTGTCCTGGGTACTCTTAGCCTAGAGCGGGTGTGTCCTGGGTACTCTTAGCCTAGAGTGGGTGTGTCCTGGGCACTCTTAGCCTAGAGCGGGTGTGTCCTGGGCACTCTTAGCCTAGAGCGGGTGTGTCCTGGGCACTCTTAGCCTAGAGCGGGTGTGTCCTGGGCACTCTTAGCCTAGAGCGGGTGTGTCCTGGGCACTCTTAGCCTAGAGCGGGTGTGTCCTGGGCACTCTTAGCCTAGAGCGGGTGTGTCCTGGGCACTCTTAGCCTAGAGCGGGTGTGTCCTGGGCACTCTTAGCCTAGAGCGGGTGTGTCCTGGGCACTCTTAGCCTAGAGCGGGTGTGTCCTGGGCACTCTTAGCCTAGAGCGGGTGTGTCCTGGGCACTCTTAGCCTAGAGCGGGTGTGTCCTGGGCACTCTTAGCCTAGAGCGGGTGTGTCCTGGGCACTCTTAGCCTAGAGCGGGTGTGTCCTGGGCACTCTTAGCCTAGAGCGGGTGTGTCCTGGGCACTCTTAGCCTAGAGCGGGTGTGTCCTGGGCACTCTTAGCCTAGAGCGGGTGTGTCCTGGGCACTCTTAGCCTAGAGCGGGTGTGTCCTGGGCACTCTTAGCCTAGAGCGGGTGTGTCCTGGGCACTCTTAGCCTAGAGCGGGTGTGTCCTGGGCACTCTTAGCCTAGAGCGGGTGTGTCCTGGGCACTCTTAGCCTAGAGCGGGTGTGTCCTGGGCACTCTTAGCCTAGAGCGGGTGTGTCCTGGGCACTCTTAGCCTAGAGCGGGTGTGTCCTGGGCACTCTTAGCCTAGAGCGGGTGTGTCCTGGGCACTCTTAGCCTAGAGCGGGTGTGTCCTGGGCACTCTTAGCCTAGAGCGGGTGTGTCCTGGGTACTCTTAGCCTAGAGCGGGTGTGTCCTGGGCACTCTTAGCCTAGAGCGGGTGTGTCCTGGGCACTCTTAGCCTAGAGCGGGTGTGTCCTGGGTACTCTTAGCCTAGAGAGTTATATATGAAGCACGCTAAACCAGCTTTGGTTATTCAGCTGAACGAGTGGTTGAGGTTCGATCCTTCGTTTGCTAATAGCTAGAGACACACGCTACTCCTGCAGCCAGGCTCTCTCTCTTAGCCTAGAGCGGGTGTGTTTTGGCACTCTTAGCATGAAACAGGTGCGCTTTTTGGCACTCTTAGCATGAAACAGGTGCGCTTTTTGGCACTCTGAGCTAAAGTGGATTTTTCATATCAGTTTTATTCCAGCTTATAGAAAAGGTAATATATTCAATTCGCTATTCAATAAAAGTATTAGCATGTTTTGTGCTGACATGTTAACCAAGATGAACATGAGAGAGACATGTAACCTACACACCGCCTTGACTGGTAGTGTGCAGGTTACATCCAGCCTTAATACCGTCTATTGGTTTTAAACCCACTGATGAGTAAGACACATGGACAACACTGGTATCTATCTATAAGGCGGTTCTCCTGTACCATGGCACAGAGTCATTCACTATCAACCTTCACGCGAAAGAAAACAGAAATGCTGCTAGTGGAAGTAGTCGTAGTGCTACTACTAGCGGTATTACTACTACTACTAGTGGTGTTACCACTACTACTAGTGTTACTACTACTACTAGTGTTACTACTACTAGTGGTGTTACTACTACTAGTGTTACTACTTCTACTAGTGTTACTACTTCTACTAGTGTTACTACTACTACTAGTGGTGTTACTACTACTACTAGTGGTGTTACCACTACTACTAGTGTTACTACTACTACTAGTGTTACTACTTCTACTAGTGTGTTACTACTTCTACTAGTGTTACTACTACTACTAGTGGTGTTACTACTACTACTAGGGTGTTACCACTACTAGTGGTGTTACTACTACTACTAGTGGTGTTACTACTACTAGTGGTGTACTACTACTACTAGTGTTAACTACTACTAGTGGTGTTACCACTACTACTAGTGTTACTACTACTAGTGGTGTTACTACTACTAGTGTTACTACTACTAGTGTTACTACTACTACTACTAGTGTTACTACTACTAGTGGTTTACTATACTATGGTGTTACTACTACTACTAGTGGGGTTATACTACTAGTGTTACTACTACTACTAGTGGTGTTACCTACTACTACTATGTGTTACTACTACTAGTGTTACTACTACTTAGTGGGTTTTCCTACTACTACTAGTGGTGTTACTACTATACTAGTGTGTTACTACTAGTGGTGTTACTACTACTACTACTAGTGTTACTACTAGTGTTACTACTACTACTAGTGGTGTTACTACTACTACTACTAGTGTTACTACTACTAGTGGTGTTACTACTACTACTAGTGGTGTTACTACTACTACTACTACTAGTGTTACCACTACTAGTGTTACTACTACTACTAGTGGTGTTACTACTACTACTACTAGTGTTACTACTACTAGTGTTACTACTACTACTAGTGGGCATATACTATACTACTACTACTAGTGTTACTACTACTACTAGTGGGGTTTACTACTACTACTAGTGTCACCACTACTACTAGTTTACTACTACTAGTGTTACTACTACTATAGTGTTACTACTACTAGTGTCACCACTACTACTAGTGTTACTACTACTACTAGTGTTACTACTACTACTAGTGTTACTACTACTACTAGTGTTACTACTACTACTAGTAGTGTTACTACTACTACTAGTGTTACTACTACTAGTGTTACTACTACTACTAGTGTCACCACTACTACTAGTGTTACTACTACTAGTGGTGTTACTACTACTACTAGTGTTACTACTACTACTAGTGTCACCACTACTACTAGTGTTACTACTACTACTAGTGGTGTTCTACAGTTACTACTACTAGTGTTATACTACTACTAGTGTCTACACTACTACTAGTGTGTTACTACTACTACTAGTGGTGTTACTACTACTACTAGTGGTGTTACTACTACTACTAGTGGTGTTACTACTACTACTAGTGGTGTTACTACTACTACTAGTGGTGTTACTACTACTACTAGTGGTGTTACTACTACTACTAGTGGTGTTACTACTACTACTAGTGGTGTTACTACTACTACTAGTGGTGTTACTACTACTACTGTGGTGTTACTACTACTACTAGTGTTTACTACTACTACTATGGTGTTACTACTACTACTACTAGTGTACTACTACTACTAGTGGTGTTACTACTACTATGTACTAACTACTACTAGGTTACTCGTGATAGGTTATACTACTACTAGTGTTACTACTTACTACTATGTTACTACTACTCTAGGTTGACTCTACTAAGTAGTGGGTTTCTACTTACTACAGTGTTCACCACACTATAGTGTTACACATACTAGTGTTACTACTACTGTGTGTTACTACTCTACGTGACTAACACTAGTGTTACTCTCTCTGAGTGGTTATGTCAACTAGTGTATACGTCTAATGATGTTACTACTACTCACTGATGTTAATACACGATTGTCAAACTATAACTATGTACCCACTACTGATTGCACCACTATCATGAGAGTCCAACTAACTCAGTACCCTGCGTTAGCACTATGACTAGTAGTGTTACACACTTTAATAAATTCTCAACTAGGTGTGGAATCTTTTTTATTAGTGGCTGCTTTTTCTTTGTTAAGTGAGCTTAACCACTCAGTTTTGAGACACACCTTGTTAGCTGGGGTTCATCACGGCCGGGGTGGTCATTAAATGACCATTGTGGACGGTTGTGTAATGGTGAATTGAAACACTGTGCAAAACCACTAGGGCCGATTAAGGTACAGTTGCTTGTTCACAACTCCAGGCTGAGGGACTGAATTACCATCATTATATTTCTCAAGTTTAGGTCTGTTAATCTTATTTGCACTGTATGGCTAACCACCTGATGGCCTCTGATTATGGACTGAAGATGCTTATGTGTAGGCGAACGTTTCAAGCAATTAAAAATACCGCAACATGTGTCGTAATCATCTGTGTTCAGGTGACAAGTAAACTATGTTTCTTACTGTGTAAGGAGAACTTGACTAAATTTAGCTCGTTAGGTGAACTAATTACATCTGTTCTAATGCCTCTTCATCCCCCTCCCTTCCTTCACATCTGTAATTAGACCCGTCACTCCCTGATCGTAGGTGAACCCTTACAACTGTGCACCACTTTTAGGTGAACCCAAATGACCCACATGAAGAGTCTCAACCTAACTGAATGGTTATACCCTTGCCCGTGAAGACTACTGCACTCCTTAACAACTTCAAGGCTGAGGGACTGATTACCTCATCTTTTGTATATAGTTCTACTGTCTTCCTATTATGTCCTAGAATCTGTATTGATAAAGCCACTGGATGGCGAAACGTCTACAATAAAGATACCCAGATGTTGTACATGTGTCTAATTCATCATACTGTGGGTGTGGTGTACATTCATACAACTATCCTTGTCTGTGGCCACTGGTGTCTGGGGATCGCTTTCCCCAAGTGAATATCGCAGTAAAACAATACAAATACCTACCCTAGGAGCATGCCACTATCTTCCCCAGCAGATGCATCAGAGGCAACAAACCCCACAGTCACTAAGACTGTTTATATTCTCTTCCCACCAACTTAGCTCACTATAAGTGAACGCAGATATGCCACTGGGAAAGCAACTGTCTCAATCTTCTTAAGTGCTTCTTAAAGGGACATTAAATGAAGCATTTCACCGAGAGTGGGTTATCACTTATGTCAACTGTACACACGATTGTCTTTCCAGAGTCAGTCACATCACACCCTTCACAAACTTAAGTGGGACCTCCTGCTTCTAAAACATAACTCTCCTTAAAGCTTACAGAACAATATCTGTCCTTGAGTGTGCACGCGCGTGCGTGGACATTTAATTGCGTTTAACCTCAGTCCTCAATATCCTCTCCTCCTGTTGCAGGTGAACGCGGGTGTGTGCGTGGCGGCACAGAAGGTGCTGCTGGACCTGCGTGACGGTGTGAAACACGAGGTGATGAGCCGTCACAAGCGAGACCTGCGGGCGGCCGTGTCCCTGCTGCCGCTGGAGGGAGTTTCCTGGTTCCTGGCGGTGGTGGCCCTGGAAGACCACCAGAGTCTCGCTCTCGACTGTGCTGCCGCCCTCGTTACTGCAGCTTTAGTCAGTACTTGCCTTGTAACATTGTAGTTTCTACCCTACAACAAAAATCATTATAATCAGAAAGAAGCGCTAAACCACAAGGGTTATACAGCAACAAAAATCAGACATTTATATCTGCCACTTTCAGTTGCTTCCCATTTTCTGTTCCAACCTCACATATTAACTATCATATACATGTATATACTTTTTTCCCCTCTGTGATACGTTTTAATTGGTTATTTTTTATGGCTGGAGGAGAACTTGATGTAAACTAACAAATTTGCTTACAAACTTTTTTTTATTAGTAATTCTTAAGCGTTAAGCACGTGCTATTCAGTGCAAGACGAAATGGAGGCTTGATCCTCCGTCCGCTGAACGGGAGACAGACGCGCTTCCTATTTGTAGTCACCTCGTTGTCTGCTACAAACAGAAATTCACGCCAGGAGTAATGGATGTGATCTGTAGGGCGCTCTTGTAGGAAGCCCTACTGTAGAGGTGTGATGTGTAGGTGCTCTCTCGTAGGGAGGTGTGATGTGTAGGTGCTCTCTCGTAGGGAGGTGTGATGTGTAGGTGCTCTCTCGTAGGGAGGTGTGATGTGTAGGTGCTCTCTCGTAGGGAGGTGTGATGTGTAGGTGCCTCTCGTAGGGAGGTGTGATGTGTTAGGTGCTCTCTCGTAGGGAGTGTGATGTGTAGGTGCTCTCCTCGTAGGGAGGTGTGATGTTGTAGGTGCTCTCTCGTAGGGAAGTGTGATGTGTAGGGTGCTCTCTCGTAGGGAGGTGTGATGTGTAGGTGCTCTCTCGTAGGGAGGGTGTGATGTGTAGGTGCTCTCTCGTAGAGAGCGTGATGTAGAGGTTTGATGTGTAGGTGCTTCCTCGTAGAGAGCTGTGCTGTAGCAAACCATGCTACAAACTGGATGTGTGAAATTTGCAGAGATGCTTATGCGTGTGAAGAGAATGGCTTGCTACAGCCCAACTCTCTACGAGAGTCTACGAATCACACCCAAACACATCTCTACAACAGAACTTCCAACGAAAGAGAGAGAGAGAGAGAGAGAGAGAGAGAGAGAGAGAGAGAGAGAAAATGCTACAGATCTCACTCAACACGTCTCAAGAAACTTTGATTTGCCTACTAACTCCTCAGGTTCAAACTTTTACACTATCCTTGCAGTGAATTCCATTCTTTCGTTCCTTCGTTATTTCGTTTGTCCTTTCTCTCTTATTCTCTCTCTTTCCTTCTCTCTATCGTTCTCTCTCTCTCTCTCTCTCTCTCTCTCTCTCTCTCTCTCTCTCTCTCTCTCTCTCTCAAGCACTACAGTGGATAAAGTTCGTGAGAAACGATCGCTTTTCCAACACTCTCTTACTCTGACCTAGAAATATTTTATTCCGAGTAACTTTTGCTTGTGTTATTTACCAGTTGTCAAAGGTACTTGACAATAGACACTTGACCTGATGTAGTTACCATCAGTCAGACTGTTAACCAATACACACTTCGCCTGTTCAAGAAACCACTCCAATTGTGTGTGTGTATACTACCCAGACACAGTGTGTAACATACACACTGTTGTATGTTAGTAATGTATTCTCTGTGTATGATTATTAAATCGTCATGAATGACTGTCAAAGAATAAACAGCAGAATGGACGTGGTCCTGGCGTAGAAAATATGTTGGAAGTTGGGGTCAGCTGAGGGCCAGATCTCTCGTTTGCGCAAGCGGTCGTGTGTGTGTGTACTCACCTATTTGTGGTTGCAGGGGTCGATTCATAGCTCCTGGCCCCGCCTCTTCACTGATTGCTACTAGGTCCTCTCTCTCCCTGCTCCATGAGCTTTATCATACCTCGCCTTAAAACTATGCATGGTTCCCGCCTCCACTACTTCACTTTCTAGGCTATTCCACGGCTTGACTACTCTATGACTGAAGAAATACTTCCTAACATTCCTTTGATTCATCTGAGTCTTCAGCTTCCAATTGTGACCTCTTGTGTCTGTGTCCCATCTCTGGAACATCCCGTCTTTGTCCACCTCGTCTATTCCACGCAGTATTTTATATGTCGTTATCATGTCTCCCCTGACCCTCCTGGCCTCCAGTATCGTCAGGCCGATTTCCCTCAACCTTTCTTCGTAGGACAATCCCCGTAGCTCTGGGACTAGTCGTGTTGCAAACCTTTGCACTTTCTCTAATTTCTTGACGTGCTTGACTAGGTGTGGATTCCAAACTGGTGCTGCATACTCCAGTATGGGCCTGACGTAAATGGTATACAGAGTCTTGAATGAATCCTTACTGAGGTATCGGAACGCTATCCGTAGGTTTGCCAGGCGCCCGTATGCTGCAGCAGTTATCTGATTGATGTGCGCCTCAGCAGATATGCTCGGTGTTATACTCACCCCCAGATCTTTTTCCTTGAGTGAGGTTTGCAGACTTTGGCCATCTAAACTATATTGTGTCTGCGGTCTTCTTTGCCCTTCCCCAATCTTCATGACTTGGCATCTGGCAGGGTTAAACTCAAGGAGCCAGTTGCTGGACCAGGCTTGTAGCCTGTCCAGGTCTCTTTGTAGTCCTGCCTGATCCTCATCCGATTTGATTCTCATTAACTTCACATCATCCGCAAACAAGGACACTTCTGAGTCTACCCCTTCCGTTATGTCATTCACATATACCAAGAACAGCACAGGTCCTAGGACTGACCCCTGTGGAACCCCGCTTGTCACAGGCGCCCACTCTGACACCTCGTCACGTACCATGACTCGTTGTTGCCTCCCTGTCAGGTATTCTCTGATCCATTGCAGTGCCTTTCCTGTTATGTGTGCCTGATCCTCTAGCTTTTGCAGTAACCTCTTGTGAGGAACTGTGTTGAAGGCCTTCTTGCAGTCCAAAAAAATGCAGTCGATCCACCCCTCTCTCTCTTGTCTTACTTCTGTTACCTTGTCATAAAACTCTAGTAGGTTTGTGACACAGGATTTTCCCTCCCTGAAACCATGCTGGAAATCAGTTATACACTTGTTTCTTTCCAGGTGCTCCACCACTCTCCTCCTGATGATCTTCTCCATGACCTTGCATACTATACACGTTAGTGATACGGGTCTGTAGTTTAGTGCCTCATGTCTGTCTCCCTTTTTAAAAATTGGGACTACATTTGCCATCTTCCATACCTCGGGGAGTTGCCCAGTTTCAAATGATGTGTTGAAGATCTTTGTTAATGGTACACACTATCTCTGCTCCCTCTTTAAGGACCCACGGAGAGATGTTGTCTGGTCCCACCGCCTTTGAGGTGTCAAGTTCGCATAGCAGCTTCTTCACCTCCTCCTTGGTTATATGTACCTCATCCAGCACTTGCTGGTGTACCCCCCTGCTCTGATTTCCTGGAGTCCTACTGGTTTCCACTGTAAATACTTCTTTAAATCTCGTGTTGAGCTCTTGACATACCTCCCGGTGGGTTTCTTGTGAATTCCCCTTTCACCCTTCCTCAGTCTGTTTAAACCTGGCCCTAACTGGTTGTTTTCCTCCTGATGTGGTGTACAACACTTCGGGTCAATCTTGACTTTCGATGCTATGTCATTTTCGTATTGCCGCTGAGCCCCCTTCTTATCTGTGCAATATTCTTTTCTGGCTCTTCGGCTAATCTCTTTATTTTCCTGAGTTCTCTGTCTTCTGTACCTTTTTCATTCTCTAGTACACCTAGTTTTTGCCTCCCTACACCTTTGGGTGAACAAGGACTCGTTCTGTTCTTCCCATTATTTCTGTTTCCCTTGGGAACAAACCTCTCCTCTGCCTTCTTGCATTTTGTTGCGACATAGTCCATCATTTCTTGTACTGGTTTTTCCCGTCAGTTCCCTCTCCCACTGAATGTCTTGAAAGAAGTTCCTAAGCCTGAGTAGTTCCCCCTTTTGTATTTGGTTTTTCCCACCTATTCCTGCTGCTCTCTCCACTTGGAGCTCAACTATGTAGTCGAAGCACAGAACCACATGATCACTAGCTCCCAGGGGCCTTTCATACATGATATTTCCCCGATGTCAGAAACTACTCAAGGTGAATACAAGGTCCAGTCTTGCTGGTTCATCCTCTCCTCTCTCTCTGGTGGTGTCTCTAACATGTTGATGCATGAGGTTTTCCAGTACCACATCCATCATCTTGGCTCTCCATGTTTCGGGACCCCCATGGGGCTCCCGGTTTCCCAGTCAATCTCCTTGTGATTGAAATCACCCTAAACTAGTAACTTTGTTCCCCCCATGTGTGCTCTCCTGGCCACCTCGGCTAGTGTGTCGACCATTGCTCTGTTGCTCTCATCGTATTCTTCTCTTGGCCTCCTGCAGTTCTGTGGTGGGTTGTACATTACTGCAATTATCACCTTATGTCCTCAGACTGGATTGTTCCTACTAAGTAGTCCCTTTCGCCGTGCCATCCATTCCTTCCATTTTCTCAAACCCCCACTGGCTTTTAATGAGCAGTGCAACTCCTCCTCCCCCTCTCCTCCCTCTTGTCTTTCCTGAGGATTTGATATCCGGATGGAAAGATTGAATCTGTTATTATTCTGTGTGTGTGTGTGTGTGTACTCACCTATTTGTACTCACCTATTTGTGGTTGCAGGGGTCGAGTCACAGCTCCTGGCCCCGCCTCTTCGCTGATTGCTACTAGGTCCTCTCTCTCCCTGCCCCATGAGCTCTATCATACCTCGCCTTAAAACTATGTATGGTTCCTGCCTCCACCACATCACTTTCTAGGCTATTCCATGGCCTGACTACTCTATGACTGAAGAAATACTTCCTAACATCCCTTTGATTCATCTGAGTCTTCAACTTCCAATTGTGACCTCTTGTGTCTGTGTCCCATCTCTGGAACATCCCGTCTTTGTCCACCTCGTCTATTCCGCGCAGTATTTTATATGTCGTTATCATGTCTCCCCTGACCCTCCTGGCCTCCAGTGTCGTCAGGCCGATTTCCCTCAACCTTTCTTCATAGGACAATCCCCGTAGCTCTGGGACTAGTCTTGTTGCAAACCTTTGCACTTTCTCTAATTTCTTGACGTG